TGCCATTGGCCTGTCAGACCTCGGGTGGTGTTGGTTTCACTTTGCAATCCCATTGGTCTTTGGGAACGCTGGGCTACATCACCGTCATGGGATCCCTTGAGGAGGGTAGGAGGAGGGCATTGCGGCTCGGTGCAGTCCCCATGCCACGTCAGCCGTTGGGGGAAGACCGGGGGAGTGGCCTGTGGTTGGGTGGCGGTCGTGGGTAAGAGGTCCGGAACGTGTTAAATAGGTGGGCCATGTTAAGCATTCTGTCAGGTGGTCTGTGCGCTCACATCTCAACCTAACCTAGCAGTGCACTTTTGTATTCAATGAAATAATATGCAAGTATGCAGGTATGAGACCTGCACACGTTAGTACGGCAGTTCCGGGAATAGAAGAGGAAGGGGGGCGAGGGGGGTGATGGGAGATGGGAGAAGGGATGGGAGGGGAGAGTCGGGGATACAAGTGTAGACGTGGAATAGGCCTGGTGTTTGTAGGGGGGTACCATTTATGGTCCTTGGGGCCTTGGACCCCGGCTTTGAGGTCTACAAGAGAGTTCGAATAGATGGCCTTTGAGGCATATACAGCGAACAGTCCCTCATTACTCTTCTCCCTTAAGGCCCCTCAGACCGGCTCCATTTGCTGCCTTGTAAGCCTGAGTCCATGTAAAAGAAGGGGTTGTTCCGCCGTGGGTCAGCAGGCGGGTAGTTCAAGTCTGTGAGTACGTGGTTTGCTTTTTGGGCAGGTACAACAGATTGAGTCGTGGCGAGGTGAGGGGGGGGATGTCAGTTGGTAAGTCTTTTCTAGGTATGTGAAACAAAGAGGGGGGAAGAGTCTGCGCTAGACCAAAAGAGCAGCAACCCTAAAAAGGGAATCCCTCAAGGAACCCTTTAAGAGACAAGAAAATACAAAAGAGGGTGTTAAGGGCTGTGCTAAAAAAAATTACAATTAAAATTAAAATAAATCAGCAAGTGATAGTGAAAACAAATATAATCAATAGACAAAGTTCGTCCAAGAATAAATAAAACAGTCTCACTGATGGGTGATGATGAGATAATAGTCCTCAGGTGTTGATCCGTCCATATGGTGGCAAATAGTCCATATATGTGGAAATAGAAAACAAAAAGAGAGCTTCCAATGGTGAAATATTGTATGTCCAATTGTGATGTATAAATCAAGAGAAAGGTATTTCACTCACATTTGTTGGAGCTTGAACCAGCTCTAGGAGAAGAGGCACTTAGTGGTTTGATCCCCACTATAGGATATACTTGGATAGTAGGTCCGTCTGTCTGGCTTGGAATTTCCTTGGTGTAGGCTGGGACCTGGTCAGATGTGCGTAATTCTTTTTTTAATGCTGGGGGGATAGGTCCGCCTCTCCAATTTTGGATAGTGGGTATCCACGAAATATATATAAAACAGCAGATAGTGCTCTCAGTATGAACGATAAAACAATTTTATAAAATAAGTTATACTTACAAGGATAGAGCAGACAGATACTGCTCTATTGCCACAGCGCTGGTGGAATTATCCCCACCTAAGGATTTCTTTGGACGGGATACACTTGAGAAATGTTTTTTTTTTTTTTACTTTTTTAAAAATAATTAATATAAAATAATTAAAAATAAAACAAAAGGATAAAAAGTAAAAACTATAAAAATAGTAAGATATATGGGGGTGCCAGGAGTAGTAAATGTGTATAAAATACAAAAAAGTATAAAATTGGTCCTAGTATAAAAGGTAACCAAAAATAACTTTTATTGATTTAAAATACACTTATTAGAACCATTTACGCGTTTCACCTATGAGGTTTTTTCAAAATGGTAAAAGAACAATACACCTGGCAGAAAACAGAATTTATAGATACATACAAAGATTGAATTTGGCGCCAAATTTTAGTGCACCAATCATATTCAAGAGTTAAAATCGAACGGATAATACATTTTAAAATGCGTTAAAAACCATGTGGGTACAAGGGTATAAGCCTAATTAGGCTTAGGTAATAATAATTTTATTAAAACAAAGCTTTGGGGGAGATATAATTAGAGTTGGTCCCGATCACGTAATCGGAACGTGCCGCGCATGCGCGAGCCGTCAGATGGGCGGATCGCATGCGTGATCGGGACCAACTCTAATTATATCTCCCCCAAAGCTTCGTTTTAATAAAATTATTATTACCTAAGCCTAATTAGGCTTATACCCTTGTACCCACATGGTTTTTAACCCCTACCTACCCCCCTCACCCTAAAAATAATGATGGGGGGACCTTTAACTAAGTACCTGTAAAAAAATAAAACTTACCATTAGATGTCTTCTTTCTTCTAAAATCTTATTTTTTCAGCCCCCAAAAAGGCCAAATAAAAAACCATAATAACCAAAGCAATTAAAAAAACAAAACAAAAAAAAACAGAGCGCAAAAAAAAAAAATCCATCTTCACCCAGCGAGGGCTCCGCGCAGCTCTGCAGGGCGGGGGAAGCCTTATAAAGCCTTGCCCCGCCCTGCAATTAGGATCAGAGCACTATGATTGGTGGGTTTAAGCCATCCAATCAGAGTACTCTGACAGGTAAATGAAGAGACTGACAGGTAAGCCTCTACATTTACCTGTCACAGCACTCTGATGGTTGGCTTGAAATCCACCAATCAGAGTGCTTTGTGTCATTTTACACAGCGTGGGAAAGTTCTTTGGAATTTTCCCACACTGTGTAATTTGACTCATAACTCTCTGATTGGTTACTTAATCCACCAATAGGCTGCTCACTGTTTAATAGACATGCCCCTACTCGCAGTATAGCGAGTAGGGGCATAATTTACTAATACTAAGTAATCTTTACTTAGTATTAGTAAATTTGGCTGAAAGACCAATTTAGGTCTTTCAGCCTTTTAGTAGATAGCTCCCTAATACGTGGGAATTAGGGAGTTATCTACTCATTCATTCCTGTCATTCCATTGACAGGCTAAGTAACTTACATTTTATATGAATGCATGTTACTTGATTGTTGTAAGTGTTGCAAATGCTTACAGCTGAATGCTGGCTATATTTGTATACTTTTTATTTAAAATTGTATACAGTGTAACATTCTTCATTCTTCCACTGGGTAAGTATATTAGTTCTTAGGCAATACTGTGCTTCGGAACTTCGGCACTTTGGCACTTCGACACTTCGGAAATTCGGTAACTTCGGAACTTCGGGACCTCGGCAATTCGGCACTTTGGCTATTCGGACATGTCTAGTCTTTTCCCAAACTCGGGAGGGGGCACCGTCAGTGTCATGGGGTGGTTGATACATCTGGGTCTGTGTCAGCACCGCCACTGATCGTGGTAGTTGAGGGTTGCATTGTCTCGGTGATCCTCCAGCTCTCAGGCATGGTATTGGGGATGGTTGTCGGCTTTGTCCGAAGGTTTTGTGGGAGTTGCGCATGGCACCACACAGGTCTTGGGATATGGTTGAGGGTTGGTAATGGTATTCGTAGTGATTAATGAGTTAAGTTGTGCGCTGGGTCACCCGGCAACTTATCTGCCGGTGCACATCTCCTCTTCATTGGGGCAAGCGGGTGCGTTGCGGTAGTCTTGCTATATTCGGGGTAGGGATGGGACCATACCAGTCTTGGATCTGGACGTCCGACAAGTCCAAATACCTCAGGAACACTGGAACTTCTCCGGCTGACGATATTGTGCTGGTATTGCCCTTGTGAGTCACAGTGAGGGAGAAGGGGAAGCCCCATCAGTATCTGATATTTCTAGCTCGAAGTTGGTCCGTGATCGTCTTCAGGGCTCTGTGGGCCTGCAGCATGAGCCAGGAGAGCCTGGGTAGATTGCTATTGTTGCTTCTCAGAATAAAAGCGGTTGCTGTGAGTGTCGCAGAGGCTCAAGTAGCTTGTTTTTCCACTCAAAATAGTGTAACCTGCAGATCACGTCGCGGGGAGGTTCGATGGTGCTTCCTGTGGGCGTATGGTTCTGTGGGCCCTGTCAAAGGCCACTGGCGTGTCTGTAGGTCTGTCTAGTATAGCTGGGAGGTTTTCCCAGTCAGCTTCGGGGAAACCTTTCACCTCAGGTTGTTGCGCCGGCCTCTATTATCCAAGTCATCCAGCGATCGTTGCATTGCGGAGTAGTGGTCAGTGTGCGCGTTGACTGTTTCCTGCAGCATGTTTATCTGTGCTTGCATGGTATCTTCAGGGAGGAGACCCTTTGCTTGTTATGTTGGAAATCCGAAATCCGCTACGGCATCCAACTTCGTCTGGAAGGAGGCCTCCAATTTGTGTAACATATGTGCCAAGTCCTGTTTGGCAGGGCCCTGAGTACATCCCTAATATCCCCGTCTGTGGATAGTGTTGGCCCGGCGCCATATCAAGGCCTACCAGGTTGGGAGGGCGCTCCACTCTATCTTTGAAATACTTGGTTAGGGACCCAGATTTCCTGGCCGGGGTCTTGCCCGATGTCTGGTGACCTGCATTAGATCTTTTAGGGTGTCCCAATATGGTTTATAGTGCCCGATGGCTATGGATTCGCTTCTTCAGTAGAAGAGCTCAGTTAGCACAGGTCTGTGCGGCTCGGCGGTCAGCTCCGCACCCCCGATTTTTTACAGTTTATGTCATAACCAGATTGATGCAGCTGAGAAGCCAGACAAGTGACACCAGCTCATCATGTTACAACAAGATCCTTCTCGTCCTTGGTTGGCTATGGTGCCTTGGAATATTGATTGTTGGGTGTTTTCAGGTGGGTGATAATGTGGCAAAAATGTTCACTGTTTATATTGGAGTAAATTCTTAACATGTAATAATAACGATTTAAATCTAATTAGGTTACTTGCCATTTGGTTAAAAGTCTAATAACACGCAAAACTCACAATTGATGTTTGGTCATTTATCAAGTAATGATTAATTCAGCTCAGTGTAATGACTAAGACCAGAAATATATATTTCCCATAGATGTATTTTATAAAACCTTATTTATTGCAAAAATGCAATCTATTAATGACCAGTGGACTCAATCTTCATAAAAGGCTGAGAAACATATTTATCAAAAGCAAAGGTGATAACTAAATTATGTGAGGAACAACTATGAATGAAGATTGAACCATTCTCATAAATGGCCACTAGATGTAACTCCAGTATTGGATAGCTGGAGGAATTCAGTGCTACAGGTTATACAAAATTAGTTATCACCTGCATATCTCAACTGTACATTGAGTGGTCCTTCTTTCCACAACAATCCAGAGTACCTAGCTTAACATGCAAATGAGCCCTAACCTGAGATACTGAGGCTACATCTTACAAGAGATTTAAACTGGCATATTTTACTTCATATGACTGGACTTTTGTTGGGATGTGTTCAGTGTTCATTTTACAAGTACATTTAGCTCCTTTTCACTGCCTCATTGTCTCCCATATGGTACACATTAGTTTGTCATTCTCTAACCACACACCTTCTGGTTATGGCAGCACAGTGCACATGTTACCCTGTGTTCGCCTTAATTAATTAATTAGATGTCTTGTCAATTAAGAGCAGTATTTGTTTACTATTTATGAATGAAGTTATAAGAGTTATTTGCCCGTACCCTCACTGTTTGGTTGTTTACTGTGAGGTACTATTGAAGAAACTGCAAGATAAATAGTTCTGAGATATCATGTTGTTGCGATAACCCCTGGAGGAACTATGTAGCATGGAGAATAAAGAATAAGAATAAAAAGCATAAAAGATAGGGCTGGATCCCTGAACTTGGGACTAACCACCTGTATTCCACACATACTCTGCAAATCCTTGAAGCCAGCCACAGAATTAGCTCATCGATTGTATCTATTATAATACTGAGTATAGTGTTTAAAGGTTAAAAGTATTGTCATCTTTGTTGATGTTGCTACCTCCAGCTCATGGGTATGTGGATGAGGGATATAAAATATTCTGGGGATGTTATGTGACAGGGAAGTGATGTAATTGGGGTGCATATGGCTGTGGAGCACAGGAAAAGAATGAGTCTAAGCTAGGGAAATGTTATCGGTTGGGATGGATTCACTTGTACTAAGCACCTGTATTCCACACATACTCTTGAAGCCGGCCACATAATTAACTCATTGATTGCATCTTTCATAATACTGAGTTATGGGTTGGGTTACATTGAAATTCAAATTTGAAGGTTGAATTTGAAATTTGATTATGTCTTTTTAAAGGGTCTCTGTCACCCTCTCCTCCACCCCAAATGAGTTTGGAATTCCCAAAGTTCAATACGCTACTAAAATCCATTCTATCTGTCGATACTGTAAGGAATATGAAATAGTTAACTTGTTCATATGTATTTTATGCTTTTATAAGGTTTATAATTAGTATTGCTGACTGAAAAGATATGAAATAGTTAAACTCAATTTACGACATAATATACTGACTGTGACAGACTAAGGTATTTCTTCTATAGGATGTAAGACAATGCTAAATCTCAGGATGTCTTGCCCATTCCAATTTCAGGATATTCTTCCCCAGACGTATTCAAAAGCTTATCTTTCCATTGTCAGAATAACATGTAATATAAGGAAGTAATAAATCTTATAGTCTGTACTGTATGGCATATCTCATGGCTAATGTAAGCAAACTATGTATAAAAGCTAGCTCTGGAATACACTCATTTGAGAGTCTTGTCAAGCATCCTGTTGTCCGTGTCTTATTGCTGACAATGATTCTCCATCAACATTGATTATGGTGACCGAGGGATCGAGAACAGAGGGGATTTGAGTCCATTACAGCATTAACCCTTTCAGATACTCTTTCCACAACGCAAAATCCATGAGTACTCCACACTATCATATTGCTATGTTTTGCTATATATCGCCTTTTGTTTTTCCCTGCTTTGGTTTCATGTACTGTATTGTGCTGTATTCTCAATAAATGGTTAATGATTTCTAAAAAAAAAAAAGGATAAAAAAGGGTATAACAAAATGCACTGGGTGAGCTGCAGGGTGAGGAATTTGGAGGAAATGGGATTAAAGAGTTTCCTTTCAATTTCTAAAAGGTGCATTCTATAGGTGTGACTTCTGGAGGTTTTGGTCTAAGGTGGGAGTATTCACTTTTTTCCAGATTTTCATATTTTTTGTTTTGCCTTGTATAAAAAGAGAATCTAACCTAAATGTTTAATATTTTGTCTTCCAGTCACATACATACGTAGTGATCCATCTTACCGGAGGAGCACTTGCCTACATGTTTGGTAACATGTATATATTTTGCCTCACTTTTATAGAAAAAAAAAAATTATCGAGTCAGTAATACCGTGTATTTACTGAGAATGGGACTATCTGTCTATACTTTTTTATTGATCATATTGATATATGATCATATATATAATGTCATTCTTAGTGTATTTTTCTATTAATATATACATATATTAATATAAAAAATACACATAATTAAATTACACACGTATACATTTAAAAAAAAAAAAAATTATATAAATATACACGTAGACTTCAAATATATAAATATGCATTAACCCTTTCAGCTTGGTGTCTAGAAGTGGGATGGATGGATCAGCAAATCCATTGCGGTGAGTAGCCTTTTTGTGTCTTATTTGACGCTGATTGTCTATGACCCCCCTTTGGTTCAGTAAGTCTGTATCCAGTAGATAGGAAAGGTGCAAGGACTCTAGTTATATTGAGACCATGAGAGGTCTCCGGTTTATATTGAGACTATAAGAGGTCTCCGGTTTATTAGACATTTGGTCTAAATATATAGGGTTTTGGTAACCCAGGTTAGTATCTAAGATAGATACAGGGTATCTCAGGTAGATACAGGTTTTTGAGACCATAAGAGGTCTCCGGTTTATTAAGACTATAGGTGTTCTGAGAAGCACGGTTTATAGATCTATAAGTATAACCCAAACTTCTCTTTCTCCCGGTCACCTTTGTTTGTCTTAAGTGTTCTTTGTGGGTGATTGTTTGTCTATATTGGGGACACACTTTGGTAAGTTAGTAGTGTCCCCACTCTGAGTCAGCAGTATGGGGAATGTGAGTTCAGGTCCTGAGTGACCAATATATGTATGTATATATGTGTGTGTATATGTATATGTGTATATATAAGATAGCAGTACTTTTAAACAAATGGAGGTTTTAAAAATACATAGGGATTAAGGAGAGAACGCAGGTAACTTGTTTTTCTTTGGTTTTTACCATATATTGGGGCTGATGTGTACTGTAGTCCTTGCTGCTGCCCGGTAGTGATGGGAGTGAGCGCAGGACTTATCTTTCTGCAAGATAGCAGTACTGTATATTAGAAAAGAGATGACTCACAGGTTGTACCTGATAGACCTACTTAAATCTTTTTACTTTATTCTTTCTGTCGCATAGAAGTATAAGTTTATTACTCTGTTTTATTGTAAGTTATTTCACATGGGATCTGTGTGCCTGGTATGAGTGTTGCTTTAAAAATACCATAAGCCCACTACACTTTTTATGAGTGGGATAAGTGTAAATGAGTTACATATTTTTTTTCTGGAGGTTTTGGTCTAAGGTGGGAGTATTCACTTTTTTCCAGATTTTCATATTTTTTGTTTTGCCTTGTATAAAAAGAGAATCTAACCTAAATGTTTAATATTTTGTCTTCCAGTCACATACATACGTAGTGATCCATCTTACCGGAGGAGCACTTGCCTACATGTTTGGTAACATGTATATATTTTGCCTCACTTTTATAGAAAAAAAAAAATTATCGAGTCAGTAATACCGTGTATTTACTGAGAATGGGACTATCTGTCTATACTTTTTTATTGATCATATTGATATATGATCATATATATAATGTCATTCTAAGTGTATTTTTATATTAATATATACATATATTAATATAAAAAATACACATAATTAAATTACACACGTATACATTTAAAAAAAGAAATTTATATAAATATACACGTAGACTTCAAATATATAAATATGCATATATATTTAAATTCTATGTGCGTATTTCTGTAATATTTTTACATAATTAAGTAATTTTATTGCCTGCAATTTGAGGGACCTGCCTGACCATCCAGGCCAAAAGTCCATAGAATGTAATTTGCTAGCTCTGTATTTAACCCTGTAACTTTCTATGACACCCTAAAACCTGCACATGGGGGGTACTGTTTTACTCGGGAGACTTTGCTGAACACAAATATTAGTGATTCAAAACAGTAAAACATATCACAACAATGATATTGTCAGTGAAAGTGACTTTTTTAGCATTTTTCACACACAAACAGCACTTTTACTGATGACGTAATTGTTGTGATACGTTTTACTGTTTTGAAACACTAATATTTGTGTTCAGCAAAGTCTCCCGAGTATAACGGTACCCTCCATGTACAGGTTTTATAACGTTTTTTAAAGTTACAGAGTCAAATATAAGGGTCAAATATTTTTACATTGAAAATTGCCAGGTTGGTTATTGCCTTTGAGAGCGTATGGTAGCCAGTCCAGTCTTTTTTAGTAGCCACTTAGTCACAAACACTGGCCAAATTTAGCATTCAATTTAGTTTTTTAGTTTTTTCACACACAAACAAAAATGAACGCTAACTTTGGCCAGTGTTTGTGACTACAAAGTGGCTACTTAAAGAGACTGGACATACCCCATATTGAATACCCTGGGTTTTCTGCTTTAAAAAAATATGTACATGTGGGGTGTGATTGAGAGATTTATGACAGATAATAGTGTTACAATGTCACCATTGATACATTTTAAAAATATATATTTTGAAACAGCAATTTCCTATTTGTACTTATAGCCCTATTACTTGCAAAAAAAAAAAGCACGTAAACACTGGGTGTTTTTAAACTCAGGACAAAATTTGTAATCTATTTAGCAGTTTTTTCATTGGCTTTCATAGGTAAGTAAAAGATTTTTCAAGCAAAAGTAAAAAAACATGTTTTTTTTTCAATTTTTCACCATATTTTTTTTTTTTTTTTTAAGTAAATTATATGACATGATACAAATAATGGTATGTAAAGAAAGCCCTTTTTGTCCTGAAAAAAACAATATATAACTTGTATGGGAATGGTAAATGAGAGAGAGGAAAGTTACAGCTAAACACAAACACCACAAAAGTGTTAAGAGCCCTGGTCCTTAACGTACAAGATGGCCAAAACAGGCCGGTCCTGAAGGGGTTAATAATGGTTTGGTTTGTTTACTAAATAGCAAACTGTGGTCACTTGATAATCAATTTGTAAAATTTAGATTACAACAGCTGCACATGTTGTAATTAAACTAGATAGATAGATAGATAGATAGATAGATAGATAGATACATATTTAAATCTCATAGTTGACTTCCCCTTAAGGACCAAACTTCTGGAATAAAAGGGAATCATGACATGTCACACATGTCATGTGTCCTTAAGGGGTTAAGATACCATGTTTGCAGTGTTTCCATGTGTCATATATGGGCTTGTGAAAGGTGAAATATAAAAACCCAACTGTAGAGGTAACTTTTACTAGTATTTTGCTATTAATCTGCATAACAATTTGTATTTTACGTCATGCAATCCCAAATAATTACAAGTAAGTTTATTTATTAAAGGGACACTATAGCCACCAGAACAACTACATCATATTATGTTTGTTCTGGTAAATATAATAATTTCATATCATAGAAAATGCAGTGTTTATATTACAGCCGAGGGTTACCTCCACTGGCCACTCCTCAGATGGCTACTAGAGGTGCTTCCTTGGGAAGTGCTGCACACTTTTTTTTCAAGGTGTAGAGTTATACCTTAATAGGGTTTATTAATACCAGGGATTTTACAGATAAATATACCACAGTCACAATAGTGTATTCCTGTTTGACAACACATTATACAATATAAAATATTATGTATATGTTTTATTTAAAACACTTGACTAACTCTTTGTACATGGGTATAGTGACCTGAGATTTATTTTCTTTTAACAGCAAATTACTATAAAATGGCCAGAAGACTGGAAGGAAAACTGGTTCGGCATGAGGGAGACGATATAGACTATGGAAGGATTCCCGTAAATTAACAGCTAAGGTATCATGTATGTCGCCTTTCTTTTTTTCCCTGCATCGGCTTTGCTTTCATATACTGTATTCTGCTGTTTTCTCAAAAAATGCTGAATAATAAAAAAAATTAAAAAAACAAGAAATTGAAAAGGGATATCGCAAAATGCCATGGGTGAGCTGGAGGGTGATGAATTGGAGGAAAAGGAATTGGAAAGTTACCTTTTAATTTATAAAAGGTGCATTCTGTAAGTGTGACTTCTAGAGGTGTGCCTTTGGTAGGCGGGGGGTCGCTTTTTTCTCTCCAGGTTTTCATATTTTTGTTTTGCCTTGTATAAAATGAGAGTTTAACCTATATATTTAATATTTAATAAATATTTAATAAAAAAACAAGAAATTGAAAAGGAGTATTGCAAAATGCCACGGGTGAGCTGGAGGGTGATGAATTGGAGGAAAAGGAATTGGAAAGTTACCTTTTAATTTATAAAAGGTGCATTCTGTAAGTGTGACTTCTAGAGGTGTGCTTTTGGTAGGCGGGGGATCACTTTTTTTCCCCAGGTATTCATATTTTGTTTTGCCTTGTATAAAATGAGAGTTTAACCTATATATTTAATATTTTGTCTTCCATGAGCATAAGTACCTAGTGATCAGTCGTATCAGAGGGGCATTTGCATACACATTTCGTGCAATGTATATATTTTGCATCAAATTAATCGAAAACCAAAAACAATCAATGCATCAGTAACACAGTGTTCTTGCTGAGAATGGAGTCCTCTATCTATACTCTGATATAGGTGCTGCTTTGTATCCTTTTTAACACAGTCTAATTTGTAATTAATTGTATTCTGTATGGATTTTTGCGGGTAACACGGGATACATTGGGTGGCTAAATAAGGTTAATGGGGCTGTGGACTAAATTTCCTTAATAATAACAAAGAGTTTAGCCAGGAAACGTACATTCAGATATACTCTGGCTTGCAAGTATGACCTGAGGATGTTTTTTCTGCCCAACAATAATGGTGTGTTTAATAAGCAGAAACGGTGGTCACTTGTATAACCAACTTGTACAATTTAGCCTACAACAGTTAAGTTGAACTTACACTTAGATTATAAATATATAGATAGATAAATAGATAGATATTTTAATTCCATAGTTGACTTCCTTAAGATAAGGTGTTTGCAGTGATTTAATGCATCATATATGGACTAGTGAAAGGTGAACGTGGAAACCAGACTGTACAGGTAAATTTAATCAGTATTTCTCTATTACAATGCTTAACAGTTTTTATTTTACTTTATGCAATTACTAATAATTAAAAGCAAGTTTATTTATTAAAGTGGGAATTATGGGGAGTTTAAAGGCACCATGCATGCATGCAGTTATGCATCATCATATTTCTCTGTGATCTGAGTCTATATTTCCTGTAATCTCTGTATTTATCTTAGTCCGTGTACCCAGGTGTCTCAGGGGTTTCATTGTCCTCCATGGTTGGCAGGAATTATGGTCCCACTTTTAGATCTGGGCCCAAGGTATCTCTTGGGAGTGTTAGCCCTGGCAGGAATTCCTGAAAGGGCCAGAATGATAGGCTAGGGGCAGGATCAGGCCAAGGACCAGCTTCAAGCTTACGTTTAGCCCCTAGCTTTAGGCAATCTAGACTTATATTGAATGTCTAAGCTGTACCATTGTCTTTTTGGATAATGGGTTGGTTTGAATTTGAAAGTTGAATTTTAACTGTGGTAAAGATTTGAAGATTATTAAAGTGTCTCTTTCACCTCCCCACCTATAAGAAAAATAAATTTGGAGCATTTCATCTAGATAAAATCTTAACAAATCCTGAATAATATTCACTCCATTATCTCCAAAAATATAGGAAGTTAATAATAATTATATATTTTATTTTCCTGAAAAGTGTATTTTCTCTTTAGGTTATATTTCTTTTTCATGACTTCTTATAGATTTAATTACTTTTATTCTAACTATATCATATATTGTAAAAGTCTTCCAAATAAATAAATAAAAAGTGAAAATTAGTCCTGATCTAATTCTACTGCATTATCACTCCATTATCTCCAAAAATATAGGAAGTTAATAATAATTATATATTTTATTTTCCTGAAAAGTGTATTTTCTCTTTAGGGTATATTTCTTTTTCATGACTTCTTATAGATTTAATTACTTTTATTCTAACTCTATCATATTTTGTAAAAGTCTTCCAAATAAATAAATAAATAAAAAGTGAAAATTAGTCCTGATTTAATTCTACTGAAAACCATACATGTCTTGTGTGCTCTCTCCTAGAATATCCACTTAGCAGGGGCAGTGTTTGAGTGGCTAACAACATTTGGACTGTTTAGTTTCCTGTTAACACTCATTCCAGATTTCCAGGTTTGTATGTAAATGTAAATCTTAGGAACACAATGTACATATAACTTTGTTATGCCCTGTTCTGTGATTCTTTCTCTAGTGATCTGGGCAGGAAGTGTGGTCCCACTTTTAGATCTGGGCCCAAGGTATCTCTTAGGAGTGTAAGCCCTGGCAGGAATTCCTGAAAGGGCCAGAAAGATGGGCTAGGGGCAGGATCAGGCCAAGGACCAGCTTCAAGCTCAAGTTTAGCCCATATCTTTAGGGAATCTAGACTTATACAGAATGTCTAAGGGGTACCATTGTCTTTTTGGGTAATGGGTTGGTTTGAATTTGAATTTTAACTGTGGTAAAGATTTGAAGATTATTAAAGTGTCTCTTTCACCTCCCCACCTATAAGAAAAATAAATTTGGAGCATTTCATCTAGATAAAATCTTAACAAATCCTGAATAATATTCACTCCATTATCTCCAAAAATATAGGAAGTTAATAATAATTATATATTTTATTTTCCTGAAAAGTGTATTTTCTCTTTAGGTTATATTTCTTTTTCATGACTTCTTATAGATTTAATTACTTTTATTCTAACTCTTTCTTATATTGTAAAAGTCTTCCAAATAAATAAATAAAAAGTGAAAATTAGTCCTGATCTAATTCTACTGCATTATCACTCCATTATCTCCAAAAATATAGGAAGTTAATAATAATTATATATTTTATTTTCCTGAAAAGTGTATTTTCTCTTTAGGGTATATTTCTTTTTCATGACTTCTTATAGATTTAATTACTTTTATTCTAACTCTATCATATATTGTAAAAGTCTTCCAAATAAATAAATAAATAAAAAGTGAAAATTAGTCCTGATTTAATTCTACTGAAAACCATACATGTCTTGTGTGCTCTCTCCTAGAATATCCACTTAGCAGGGGCAGTGTTTGAGTGGCTAACAACATTTGGACTGTTTAGTTTCCTGTTAACACTCATTCCAGATTTCCAGGTTTGTATGTAAATGTAAATCTTAGGAACACAATGTACATATAACTTTGTTATGCCCTGTTCTGTGATTCTTTCTCTAGTGATCTGGGCAGGAAGTGTGGTCCCACTTTTAGATCTGGGCCCAAGGTATCTCTTAGGAGTGTAAGCCCTGGCAGGAATTCCTGAAAGGGCCAGAAAGATGGGCTAGGGGCAGGATCAGGCCAAGGACCAGCTTCAAGCTCAAGTTTAGCCCATATCTTTAGGGAATCTAGACTTATACAGAATGTCTAAGGGGTACCATTGTCTTTTTGGGTAATGGGTTGGTTTGAATTTGAATTTTAACTGTGGTAAAGATTTGAAGATTATTAAAGTGTCTCTTTCACCTCCCCACCTATAAGAAAAATAAATTTGGAGCATTTCATCTAGATAAAATCTTAACAAATCCTGAATAATATTCACTCCATTATCTCCAAAAATATAGGAAGTTAATAATAATTATATATTTTATTTTCCTGAAAAGTGTATTTTCTCTTTAGGTTATATTTCTTTTTCATGACTTCTTATAGATTTAATTACTTTTATTCTAACTCTTTCTTATATTGTAAAAGTCTTCCAAATAAATAAATAAAAAGTGAAAATTAGTCCTGATCTAATTCTACTGCATTATCACTCCATTATCTCCAAAAATATAGGAAGTTAATAATAATTATATATTTTATTTTCCTGAAAAGTGTATTTTCTCTTTAGGGTATATTTCTTTTTCATGACTTCTTATAGATTTAATTACTTTTATTCTAACTCTATCATATATTGTAAAAGTCTTCCAAATAAATAAATAAATAAAAAGTGAAAATTAGTCCTGATTTAATTCTACTGAAAACCATACATGTCTTGTGTGCTCTCTCCTAGAATATCCACTTAGCAGGGGCAGTGTTTGAGTGGCTAACAACATTTGGACTGTTTAGTTTCCTGTTAACACTCATTCCAGATTTCCAGGTTTGTATGTAAATGTAAATCTTAGGAACACAATGTACATATAACTTTGTTATGCCCTGTTCTGTGATTCTTTCTCTAGTGATCTGGGCAGGAAGTGTGGTCCCACTTTTAGATCTGGGCCCAAGGTATCTCTTAGGAGTGTAAGCCCTGGCAGGAATTCCTGAAAGGGCCAGAAAGATGGGCTAGGGGCAGGATCAGGCCAAGGACCAGCTTCAAGCTCAAGTTTAGCCCATATCTTTAGGGAATCTAGACTTATACAGAATGTCTAAGGGGTACCATTGTCTTTTTGGGTAATGGGTTGGTTTGAATTTGAATTTTAACTGTGGTAAAGATTTGAAGATTATTAAAGTGTCTCTTTCACCTCCCCACCTATAAGAAAAATAAATTTGGAGCATTTCATCTAGATAAAATCTTAACAAATCCTGAATAATATTCACTCCATTATCTCCAAAAATATAGGAAGTTAATAATAATTATATATTTTATTTTCCTGAAAAGTGTATTTTCTCTTTAGGTTATATTTCTTTTCATGACTTCTTATAGATTTAATTACTTTTATTCTAACTCTTTCTTATATTGTAAAAGTCTTCCAAATAAATAAATAAAAAGTGAAAATTAGTCCTGATCTAATTCTACTGCATTATCACTCCATTATCTCCAAAAATATAGGAAGTTAATAATAATTATATATTTTATTTTCCTGAAAAGTGTATTTTCTCTTTAGGGTATATTTCTTTTTCATGACTTCTTATAGATTTAATTACTTTTATTCTAACTCTATCATATATTGTAAAAGTCTTCCAAATAAATAAATAAATAAAAAGTGAAAATTAGTCCTGATTTAATTCTACTGAAAACCATACATGT